GCTAAGTTGCTTCTGAATAGTCTTTTATGGAGAGGTTCTTCAAAAGTTGTTGTAGTGCTTGTGACATTTCCTTCTGATGCTGTTTGGGCGTCTTTGTTGGGAACTTCTGATGAATTGCTTTTAGTACCTGCGAACTAAACTTCTATATCTGCAAGAGATTCATTCTTGTTTGACTTTTGAGGGCCGAGCTTGTCATCAAATCTAACACTGATTGACTCTTCTACAATATTTCTTTCAGTATTGTATACTTTGTAGCCTCTTGAGCGTTCAGAGTATTCTAACATAATACACTTTTGTGCTTTAGAGTCAAACATATTCAAATGTTCTTTGGTGTTAAGAATAAAACAAATACATCTGAAAGGATGGAAATACGAAATGTTGGGCTTTTTGTTCTTCCACAGTTCATATGAAGTCTTATCCAGAATAGGTCTTATGGAGATTCTATTCTGAATGTAACATGGTGTGTTAATTGCTTCTGCCCATAAGATCTTAGCAATGTTAGTCACGTTGATCATGGTTTTGGCCATTTCTTGTAAATTTCTGTTCTTTCGTTCTACAACTCCATTTTGTTGGGGAGTTCTAGGACAAGAGAAATCATGAAAGATTCCATTTTCATTAAAAAATATTTCAAATTTTTTGTTTTCAAATTCCCCATCATGATCACTTCTGACTTTGACAATTCTAAGATCTTTCTCATTCTGAACTTGGTTACAAAAAGCAACGAACCCAGAATGTGACTCGTCCTTGTGTCTTAAGAACTTTACCCATGTCCATCTGCTATGGTCATCTACGATCACTAACTCATACTTCTTGCCACTAATGGATGTAGTTTATACTGGTCCAAATAGATCTATGTGCAGAAGTTCTAATGGTCTAGAGGTAGAAACAACATTTTTTGCTTTAAAAGGAGGTTTTGCAAATTTGCCTTTCTAACATGCTTCACACAGAGCATCTCAGCTGAACTTCAGATTAGTAAGTCCTCTAACCAGATTGAGTTTGTTAATCTGAGATATTCTTCTCATACTAACATGCCACAATCTTTTGTGCCATACCCATTGCTCTTTGTTAACAGACAGAAGGCATTTTATGTTCTAACTCTTTAGTTCATAAAGTTTTATCTTTTAAATGTTGTTTTTCCTCTTTCCATTAAATAGTATAGATCCATTTTTCTGACTAACAACTTTACATGAATTTTTATTAAAGATTATATCATAACCGTTATCACTTAATTGACGTATGGATAATAAGTTATGCATTAATCCATCTACTAACAGAACATTATTAATAGAAGGAAGGTTACTGTTACCTACAGTTCCAGAGCCAATGATCTTCCCTTTCTGATAGCCTCCAAAACTCACATAGCCTCCAGATTTAAGTTCCAGACTTTGGAACATATTCGTTCTTCCCGCATGTGTCGAGAGCATCTAGAGTCCAGGTACCATGACTGGTGTTTTATTCTTCCTGTCAAAGATATCTACTACATATATAATTTTTTCCTTAGGTACCCATATATTTTTGGGTCCTTGTTTGTTAGTGTTACCAAAATATTGTTTGAATTTTGGTTTAGCAGAAAACTCATTACTGGTATATTTCAACTCATGTGTGTGCCCATAAGTAAAGTGAGATTTTAAAGGTGTGAGTTTAATAACTAAGTCCATTACTTTCTTAGGTTGAGATACTTTAACTTTGTATCCTATACCTTTTCTTCCATTTCGGCTAACTCCATAGATCACTGAAGCCATCTTGCTTCTATCTATGTTTTTAGCCAGAAACTTCTGAAAGCTATGATCATATTCCTTTATGATCTTATCATAATTACTGGGAACCTCTGAGATTGTTTCCTTATGAGAGTTTTGTAAATCATTTTCAAGTTTTGAAATCTTTTCTTTTAACTCAGAATTTTCTAATCTCAGATTCTCAGTATCTTCATAGTCACAAACAAGATCCTTTTTCAAGTTCTTGAATTTGACTCGAAGCTGCTGATATCTTTCCATAATTTCACTCATACTTTCTCCTCATTCATATTTAGTAAAGTTTACAGTAAAGCCAGGAAATACCTCTTATGTGTATGATTCTGATTCTGACCCAGATGATTCACTATCTTCTATCATGTTAGCCATAAGAGCAATGTTTGCTCTTTCATCTTCTGACTCTATGTCTGTGTCAGAAGTATCAGAGTCATCCCATGTTGTCATGAGATTTTTCTTCTTCTCCTTGAAGAACTTATTTTTGGGTTTCTCCTTCTGAAGCCTTGGACAATCGCTTTTGTAGTGCCCTTGTTTATTGCACTCATAGTAAACGATGTCCCTGTTGCTTGACTTTCTGTGACCAGAAGAAGATTCAGACTTTCTGTGTCTAGAGGAGGATTCAGAATTTATGTATCCAGAGGATGATTCATTCTGATTCCCTATTCTTTTGGAGTTTCTGAATTCTCTTTGCATCTGCTTCCACAACTGATTGACTCTTCTAGAGAGAAGAGACAATTCATCTTCTTCTGAAGAGGATCCATCAGAGGTTTCTTCCATAGCCTGCAAAACTTTAGAATCATATTTTTTGTTAGATTTTGGAGTTATAGGCTTACCTTGCTTCTGAGGTTCGTCATCTTCTAAATCTATCTCATGACATCTGAGTGAGCTGACAAGTTCTTCTAGAGATATCTTGTTAAGATCTTTTTCCAGCATAAGAGCACTTACCATGGTCCTCCATTGCTTCGGTAAACTTCTGATGATCTTCTTTACATGATCAGCAGCTGAATACCCTTTTTCTAGAACTCTCAGCCTAGCAACCAGAATCTGGAATCTTGAAAACATTTCTTCATTGGTTTCACTTTCTTCTATCTTGAAGGCTTCGTACTTCTGAATGAGTGCAAGGGCTTTGATTTCTTTAACTTGCATGTTTCCTTAATGCGTCATTCTCAGAGAATCAAACATATTTTTAGTTGTCTCTCCGTTTATGATCTTCGCATACTCTGAATATGAGATGGCACTCTGTTGCACCCCAAAATTTTCCCTCCTAGTTTCTTATATTTGGCTTAGGTTTAGCATTACATTCATATCTTTTCATTAGGTCATTAACATACATTTTCATTCAATAAAGCGCTTGAGGTTCGAAGTTCAGTGGTCGCACGATATTAGGATTTCGCAGCGGTTAAGGCGTTCATATCCAATAAAGCTTGATTCTTCTGATTATCCTTCAAGCAGCAAAGTGTGGATTTAGGATTGCAACCTATGTTTATTGAGGGTTCTGTTATCTTCAAGTTGAGGGGGTTATTACTCATTCATATTCATTCAAGACAAGAGTGATAGTGTTTCTCCACCAAGTTTGTGCTTGACAACATTTCATCAACCGAGGTTCATTAGGTTTTCTAAGTCATGGTCAGCTTGGTCATATTTTTTTCGGTATCCGCATGTTCATTTCCAAGTTGTTCTACGAGGTCATCTAAAGGGCTACTAAATATGGCATTCATTATCTCCTTGTGCTCAACGTCATCCTTTGATTAGGGTTTATTTCTCTAAATCATGTACCATTCAAGAGAGGTTTCTCTGGGAAGTTGTGATCATCAGGAAAGGCTATCATCAGGGGATATCATCCATGAATAACCAGGGTTTCAATTGATATATCTTTGAAAAATCAGAAGGAAATCATTACTTGAATCTCTAGTCATGTGGGCAACAACTCTATTCTAGAAAAGAAGATTTAGCTGGACCTTCTTCACGAATCAGGGTTCATATGCCTTATAATGCAAAGCTCTTCATCTGGTCGATTGGCTTACTTGCGATATAATCTATGTTGTTCGGATTTCATTTCAATGCTTTGAAGATCAAAATCTAAATGCTTTTTGTGGAAGTTTAGGATTTATATCCTATCATACTTAGGTTTATCAACATCTTCAATGGAGGTTCATCAGATGATAAGGCGTGATATAAGGATGGCGTTGTAAATTCATTAAGACCAAGGCAGTTTGGTTCTCTTATTATTTTTTATACAAGGTTGATGGGGATCAACGTGTTGGATCCATTCTCTCATGAAGGACATAGGGTGATGTTAGGGGACATTTGGTTCATGGTCATAAATTGAAGATTGGGCTCGCTTCATGGCTTATGATATAGGTCATTTGCTTTAGGGTTCATTCAGGAAGGTGGAATTCTGATCACGGAGTTTGCTTTAGATTATTTCGAGAGAAATATCACGTGAATTCAAGTTTTGTTCAAGAATTGGATTAAAGTTCATTTACCAAGCATGCAAGGTTAGAAAAGGATTCATGTAGATTTCTTGAGAAACAAGTTATTTGGAATTTAGAGCAAATGTCAAGTTTATGCATGCATAAGGGCGTTCAAGAATTATTCAAGGCTATTTCAAATTTCAAGATCACAAATCCAAATTTCATTCACCGTTCAAGTGACCATAATGCAATATCATTCATGGTTTTCAAGCATTCTTAAGACAGAATTTTAAGTAGAAATTCCAAAAGTATGGGTATCACGACTCAAGTTTTCTTAACATGTGAATTTCAATATTTTTAAGGACCAATTCAAGATGTGAGGCCTTTTCGATTTATCGTTCGTTACACATCCAAATTTTCAAAAAAAAATCTGTTTCATTCACAGTCATCCATGGAAGCCTTGAACAAAAAGAAAAAAAAAAGAACATTACAAAAGCAAAAGCATGGCTAGCTCTAAGTTCTAAGCCTAAATAGAATCTTCCTGAGTCAATTCTTGAGTGCAGACCTTTCTTTGCGTTCAAAGATCTACCATACTTGCAAAGCTAGCCATAAAGTCCTGCATAAAAAGAAAAACGCATAGTACATCAATTTCAAAGGATGTTATACAACAAATGCCTAAACCTAAAATCCCAAGGGTTCTAAACTATTTGAAACCAAATACACCACAAATCAAAGACCAAATCAGGCCTTGCTTTGTCCTTCTTGCAGCCACAAAACCCTCGTGTCTCCCGTAGCACTACCCTTCCCCCCATCTTCAAGGTGCTTTTAGGATTTTGCAATGGCTCCTACAAAGGTGGACAAACCAAAAAGATGATCCTAAAGCTCAGGCCTTGAAGATAGCCAAGGATGTGAAGTCAGATGGCCAAGTGATTAAGAAGAAAGGAAAGAAGATTAGAACAACTGCGAAATTTCACCGGCCAAAGACTCTATCGAAGGACAAAAACCTAAAGTATCCTCGCATTAGTGCAACCCCAAGAAACAAGTTGGACCACTATCAAATACTTAAATTTCCTCTAACTACCGAGTTTGCAATGAAGAAGATTGAAGATAACAATACCCTTGTTTTTATTGTCGACCTGCGTGCTGACAAGAAGAAAATTAAAGATACTATGAAGAAAATGTACGATATTCAGGCCAAGAAAGTGAACACTTTGATCAGGCCTGATGGTACAAAGAAAGCCTATGTGCGGTTGACTCCAGATTAGGATGCATTGGATGATGCTAACAAAATAGGTATCATTTAAGTTGTACTGCATATTTGAGCAAACTTAATCCATCGATTCTAAGATAGCTGATATACATTACATATCATGTGTTAGGAATCTTTTCTCATCCTTATACATTACTCCGGTTGTGTACTCAAAAAAAAGGGGCCACTAACAAAATTCTCCAACAGTTTCCAACTTGTAACCAATTAACAAGAAACTCAAACAAAATTTTCTAATATTTCTCAACCGATTCCTAACTATTAACAACCCCTAACCAAATCCCAACTGTTATAACTAATTTCTAACAATTTTTTAACTAACTCTTTACTTCCTAACTGCTTAACTAACTTTCATAAACTAGCTTTCAATAGCTAACTTAACCTCCATTTAATCTGACCTTACCTCACTCTTAACAGTAGCCTAACAGAATTACTAACTAACTTATAGTTTTAACAAACTTAGTTCCAGCTTATAGCTAACTTAAAACCAACCTGCCAGCTCACATAATAGAATTCTAAATCCCCCAACTAACTCTAACAGTGATATAACAGAAAAAAGCTAACCTCATAACAGACTTTAGCGAATTTAATCTCCACCTTCCATTCCATAACAAACTCTCATCATCCAAGGGCTCAAGTTCATTCTTCATGTAACTAATTTTAGACTTCCCTACCTATATAATCCAAAATCCCTCCAGCTTTCAGGGGACACGCACCATATTCTCTCTTTCCCAGTTTCAAACTTCATCCTCTCTCCACCATTTTTTCTTTGCTCTTCCATTAACACGCTTCATTTTTTCACCCATAACTCACAAAATTTTTGAATGCTCTCTCATTCTTCTCTAACCACTACTCTTCAACCTTCAACCCACTCTTCATCATTCACCTACTTCTGAAACCCTGCTTCATCTTCAACAAATCATCTCTCTATAAACTCGAATCACCCTCCTGCAATCTCACTCAAGAACAACTTACAACAACAACAGCAACAACCATACGCTCCTTTCTATCAACGCTCATCAATACGCGCACACGGAAATCACAGAGAAATGCAAAAAGAAAGAAGAGATGAAGAAGAAATTTGTGAAGAACTTACCTCTGGATTTCTCATCTTCACAATAGTGTTGGAGAACAACCGAACTCATCTCCAACAGGTAAATCCCAAATTCCCTCTTTTCATCCTCTTTTCGCGTAGCCTTTGTTACAATTATGGAGTACAGAGCTCAGTGAACTATAACCTCATGGATTCATGGCCGTAGGCTCCATATTCGCCTTTAAAATCTTGATTTGAAGCAACTTAGGGTTTAAAGCTCTCTGTTAAGGGTAGATGAACTAAAGAAAATTGATGAAAGGAGAAGTTAGATTTAGGCTCAGGGTTTGATTTCGGTTAGGATTGTTGTTCAAATTTTCTTCATCCAAGGTTGTTGATTGGTGGTGACTCAAGAACAAGAAAGAAAGAAGGTTAAACGGATGCTATGAAGAGGTTGAGATGATGAGGTTATTCGTAGAGGCACGGTGGAGATCACCAGAGGAGAGGGAGGTTATCTGCAGTGCGTTTTTGTGTTGAGGCGAGGGAGGTGAAGAATTTTTGTTTCCCAATTGAATTCCAATTGCCACAAGTTGTATAACCCTAGCCAGTATCCCATGCGCCACCATTTTTCTTTACATTTTATTCTTTTCAGTTTTGGTATTATTGATAGAAAATAATAAAATCTAAACAAAATAAAGGAATTAGATCATCTTGTAATATTATGTGAGCCGAGCTACTTCCCCTTAGGCCCGTTGATTTTTTTGTAGTTTGAGAGATTGGCAACGAAAAACACAATATTGGGTAGGCCCATTCGTTGTTTTTTGAACTAAAGCCAGGATAAAACAGAAAAAGATCTTCCTGGACTCATTCTGCATTGGGCTCATCACCACTTACTGCACCACCATGGCTCAACTTGCGCCCCCTGACTCTTCTAATTTTCCTTTTTTTATTATTATTTCAGTTTTTATTCTTGTTTAATTTTTCTCTTAATTGATAATAAAAAATTAATAATAAAAAAACGGTAAAAATATTAGAAGGCATTTTAGAAATTAATTAAGAATATATTTCTTCTTTCGCTAACCTTTTAGCCAATTTTAATCAATAGTTGTGATCGGTGGATCTGGAACTGACTGTTTAACGCTGGTTCGCGAAATGTCGCGGAAGCAAGAGTCGCCACCGTCTTTTATTTTCTCCAAATAGAAAGGACAAAAGCATAGAAAAATTCCTTATAGAGATTGCTCTCGGTTCGGGAGGTAGATTTATAGAAAGGGAAGGTGTTAGCACCCTTTCTATCCATGGTTATCCATGGGCTCTTAGATACTTGCTCATTTGTGTTTTCAAAATTGTTTGTTTGCTTTTCAACTGTGGGTTTAAAAAAGTTTCTTTGAAAATTTCAGTTTGACTCTTGTATCAGTCCTCAAGAGTGTTTGAAAAATTGCTTTTTGAAAGCTTTTTGAAAGGTGTCGGTGTGAAAAGAGTTTTTGATTTTATTTTGAAATTAGAGCAAGTATCTACGAGTCGTCTACCTACCCTAAGGAATTCGTCTGTGTAAATGTCCTTAAAGATAGTGCCATCCCACCATTGAGAGGTAGGTAGCACCACCGTTGGAGGTGTTCGGGTCAATTCGAGGGTTCGGGACATGGTGATCACCGGAGCAATAGGAAGACACCTTAGAAGCTACCCTCATGCCATGTTCATGGACATGAGGACTTACTAAAACATCCTCTACTCGACGACCACCTTTCGAGGGGCAAGGCAACATTGAGGCGTACCCTAGGGGTGGTGTGTGATTTGTGTGTCGTTTTCAGATATTTTTGTCTTGTCATGCATTGGTGATCTACGCGTTTCTTTTATTTTTGACATTCATTCTTTCATGCAAATTATTAACAGTTAAAAAGATGCGGAATTAAAAGTCCTACGCTATTACAAAGGCGCGGGTCTACATCGCCAAATTAATCCAAGACCCGATTTGAAATAAAATGCCGAAAGATAAATGTCTAATTAATCTATTACACGGCTTCGGGATAAATACATTATGTTCGCAAAAAGAAATAAAAGTAAAAATGCGAAAAGAAGTAAATTCGGGAATGCGAGGGCGTTGGACCCTTTTAAAGAAATTAAATTACAATTAATAAATTAATTAAGTTAAATGAGAAAAGGAAATTATTTTTGAGTTTTTTGTATTTATGGATTTTAGTAAGAAAATTAAATGAAATTAAAACCCTAATTCTAAACTATTTTTAATTTATTAAAAAAAATGTTTAAATTTAACCTAGTTTTAACCTAATTATTTAATGGCAAATTTATTTACAAAATAAATAATTAATTATTAAATACGGTGAAAAGAAAAGAAAAAGGATAAAAGTATTTAAAACCCTAATTTTACATTTTTTTAGTTTATTAAGACATTGAAATTAAACCAAGAATTAAAACTAAATTAATTAATAAAATTTATTTACAAAAAAGAGTTAGTGAATTAAACATAAAAAAAACATATTTTTATTTTTATAGTTTCTGATTTTTTTTTGGTATTTTTTATGTTAAAGAAAAAATTAATTTAAAGAATTAAAATAAAACAAATAATGTAATTAAAATAAATAAGAGGAAAAAATAAAAAGAGGAAAAAATGCAAACCAATGGGGGGTGTTGACCCCAATTTAGGAGGTAAATTGCCAGCAATCTGGCCCATTTATTGGAGGCCTCTTTTGACTTTTCTGGCCACGTGCATATGCGTTGACTGGGGTGTTCCCTGGACCTCCCATCCTGACCTTCAGATTCATCTTCCAGGACATTTGGCAAGCCTTGGCATTGGGTGTATGGTGAACCCCTGGAATGCACGCTGCGTAGGAACATGGAAAACAAAATAATATGAGAAAGGGAGGGGACCTGGGAATCGAACCCAGGTCCCAAGACTTACCAAACACACATCCAGCCATCTGAGCTAACACGTTTATTCGTATGCAATATAATAAGAAAACATAATATGGGAAAACATCCACTACGCTGATAAACGCGCCAAACATTCAAACGCACCAACCGCTGGCTTACACCTCATCTTCTTCTCCACTCGTTTGCTTTGGCCTGGAAAAAAAATAGATGGATAGCGGGGGTTTTAAACCCCCACTAAATGAAGAACGGGATAATAGCGATTAGGCCATCGTTGCTCATAAATTGAGCGTGATATGTGCAATGAATTCGTATGAAGGTCGTGAGTTAAGTGGTCCAGGTCTTGTTGGCCAATTTTTCAGTTTAGAAAACCTAGCGAGCTCCAATGGTGGATTCACGTATAAGGTACGAAAACTCAATTAAACGATGTTGTTAGCTTTAGAATGATTGGATTAGTACAAATCAACAGAAAAAATGCAATGAGGATGCGTATAAATTGAAACACGAATTTCACAAATGTTAAGAACAGGACGGCATCATGTTACCAATTCTTTACGTTAGAAGCGTGGAAAAGGATTCAGTTAGGTTCAGTGATGCCTCATAAAGCTTTTGGAATCGGTTAGAAGCTTTGAATCACGCTCTATGTGTGAAATCAGTTTTGAAAAAATTGAAAAAAAAGCAAAGTGTGTATGAGTTTTTAGGCGCAGCTCCAAGGTTGTTGGCATTAGGGTTAAGTTCTGTTTATGTATGGGAATGGATTAGGGTAAGAATCAAGTCCAAAAACCCTTGTAATCATGAATCAAATATTTGATTTTTAATGGCATCTTTTCAAATCTTTTCCATGTGTTTTTGGTACCAATCATGGCCAAATCTTTCCAAATTGAGGGTGCACGAAATCTTGAGGTTTTATGGAGAGAATATGCTGCAAAAAGGGATTAAAAAACATGGTTTTCTATTTTTGTCATATTTTATTTCATTAAATGAATTAATAGTGATTAAAAATTCAAATAAATAATAAAAAATGATGAAATAATTCCCCTTTGGGCCAAATGGTCGTGCATAACCTTTGGATGATGATTCTT